CAATTGATTTACAGCTTTAATCACTTATCTGTTACCCTAGTTGAAACCAATGAAGTAATATGTATAATGAGATGTCGTGAGGCTTCGTGAGAATATGTACTTACGATCTGGGATCACATATTAGTGTGCAATAGTAATAATAATATAACAGAAAGAATTCTTATTACAGCTATTGTATTCAAGTTTTCGACAATCATATGTGTAGGCATAAGTGGTACTACAGGTCTATGCAGAAGTTACCCACGAGATCAACTCTCACGTACGGAAGCTGTGGTGGGAAACAGTGTAGTAGTGAACACGAATAGTACCGTATACAGTGCACATAAATTGATTGTGCCCACAAATTCCATGTATATACGTTTCCCATAAAAATTGTAAATTATTAACCTTTATTGCGGCAATATTTTTTTTCGATAATGGCACTTGCATAGAACAAGGTTTCATTCGTATCGTATGCGTTATGTTCATTGAATAATGACAGTGACAATGAAATTTTTAATAAATTCGTTTCGTATTCTGGAATTTATCATCCAAAATACAGTAGACACAGAAGTATACTTGTAATAAAACTATATTTTATTATCACAATGTTTGTTACTTCGGTCAACCATGTGAGACTTCGAATTAGACCCCATTGGGATAAACTCTTAAAGGCCGGGGTAATAAACACATTGCAGGCTCAGGCCTGCATTATATGAAATTTACTGAGTATTTATTGAATATATCCCATATTCCAATAAATTACTAATGCGTATAAGGTGCGCACATAGTGGGGGATAGCTATACTCAGGCATAACTCGGTACTACGAGGATTGTATGTACAAGGAACTCATTGTCATTTTTGTAGTTCGTATTGGTAGGGTAGCAGAGTTGTAAGTAGTCTTTTCAATTAGATTAAATCTTTAATTCAATTGAACAACAACTAGCAACTAACGTTTCTGTCTCAATTCTTAACTGAATTTTATGTAATTAGAAATTCCAATTGTTGATTGTTAAACTTAATANTAAATATCATGAATTGTATATTACTTCGAATATTTTATATTCCCTCATATATTGCTGCATACTGTATTACTTTACATTATTCAATATTCCCATAAATGTATAAACAACCGAAATCTAATGGTAAAACACTCTCGCGAAGGCTTTGCGGTTATCGAAGAAACACAAATGGTATTTAAATACCATTTTGCATCTTCGATTTTGTAGTTAGAATTCTTACCATGAAAGTGTGATATTTGTCGGAGGTGCGTAATAAGTTCTGCAGGAAGCTCAAGTGCCTGAACGCCGTATGCCAGGGTATGTAATCGGCCTCGTGCGTTAAGTAGAGGCTTACGTTCAGTGCGAGCGTGTAGTTCAAACTGTTAGTACGAGCTAAGTTGAACGCGTCGTCGATCATCTGCGCACGGTTCACCGGGTGTATTTTTGTATTGTTCCCCTTGTTCAGCTCTTTTGTCAACAGTTCCCAATTTTCTTTATCATAGTTCACACGATAGTAACCTGACGCAGAACACAAAATTTCATTAATTACATCTGCAATTTTCTGCCCTTCGAAAATATCAAATTTCCTTTATAAAATTATTAGTGTTCTTGTTGAGTTATCTTATGCATGAATCAGTGAGCAGATGAGAATAGTGAAAAGAAACGCGAACGTATACATACGGTGTTAATATTAATTTAGTAATTCTGTTAAGTTGCTGAAGCTCAATATTATAAGATAAATATGAGGCCAAACAATATACAATTTTTTCGCAATAGCCACTATGTGATTCTTATAGAGTACCTCATGTCAAAAACGAATCCAAAATGTTCTATTATATACCGTTCTTGAAAAATAGTGGTTTCTATAAAAGTACATGATTTTCAGGAAAATGAGGTATTACATGAAAACTAACGATAAGAGAAAGTCGAGAGAGTTCATTTTTGAATCGAGGGATAGAGAAGACCTTTCATAATGTTGCATGAGTGACGACATCAAATAATTCCTGAGGTATTATATCGTAATGTACTATTTATGTACTATGCAGCCGTCACAAATGTTGAATTGCCGCTCGCTTACGCACGAATCATCCATTTCATTCGATAAAAATCTGTGATTCACTTTTCATGTTCCGCCATTTTTTAATTAGTGCAAATAAAATCAGTAGTGGTATTTTCACAACCGCGACGACTACACATAAGTACGCACGCGCCACAATAGGGGCTCGGTCGTTTTATTCTTTACAATGAAAATGAACGGCGAAAGTCGAACAGCGAGAATCGATTTCACTCTCGCGTCGATTTAATGGTCCAGATTTCCATGATCGCCTGCCGCAAATTAGCATTAGCTTTCCGCACGAGTCCGCTTCGGTGTACTTGAAACGGTACGTCGCGTCGCATCGCTTTCCGTCGAAACTATTTAACGAGTCGCGATTCCCCAGCTGTCACGAGCGAGTCTTTGTCGGATTTTCTCTCTATTTATCTGATTTTCATTCGACCCATAAACAAGGAGCATTCTGTACCCTGATTCTGCAAGTCGTTTCTTCAATGCCGATCATCGTTTCTAACTAATAGACCGTTGATTCTTGGGACATGAAATTAAATGGTCTACGAACGAGCGACTTTATAGAGAGACGACAAATATGACAGACGACAAGGTGTTCGAATATTCGCTGTTTTACGTCGTTCGTAAATAATTCTGTACAAGCGATCTTCTAGACGATCGAAGTAATGCGATGTATTTAATTAAGTTGACCCGATAGTCGAAGATGATTAAAATTTTGGAACGGGAACGAGTATTACAAATTACGTACGAACTTTCTCGTGCACGTGTCATGCATAGTACTTTATGGGTAGCCGAGTGTACACACCCGTCGTATCGTTGATGAAGTCAACTTTATTCCCTGGCTTGACACGAAATTGCATTAACTCAACGTTTGTGGAACCTCGTTGTAGCATCGCGTAAGTCATAATGACAGAATAATTAATGTCGCAGGGCTAACTCGGACATAAAAGCCAGCGTTTCTCACGGGAACTTCGTTACACGTTTTTAAAAATGTTTCGATTGCACGCGTCAAAATTTTGTGCGAAACCACGTGACTCTCGTGATATTAGCACGGTAGAACAGGTGTCAAAGAATAGTAGAGATCTCATTACCGTCAAATTTTTCGTCGAGGGAAAACGATGTTAACGTTTTTGTTGGACAGTGTAATTCATCAATTTTCATATTAAAATTCTTAGACATACGATTGAAAAGTAAATGTCAACTCTTAGTTATTCATTTTGAATGTTCTATAAAACTGTGCAATGTACCTGTTTGCTGTGTGTTGAAAACGAACCATCCCGTTTTTTCTTTAGATGGCACGATATGTGATGTATTGTCCGGAGAGAGCCAATCGACGGGAGTCGTGTTACTAAAATTAGGATTCGATTCCTCGACATACGTGATTGGTAACCACCACTTGGTAGGATGCACGTCGAGATTTACGATCACGACGCGTTCCTGTGTCAATTCGTAGCCCTCTTTGATTCTCTTAACTATCAACATCGGATATCCCTGATAATCTACCCAGTTAGTCATTACGGCTTGCACGGGCTGTTTCCATTTAATCTCACTCTCGTCCAAGGCTTTCTGGAGGGATCGAAAAAGATCATTCGAATCCGCATTACCTAACGCGCTGCAACAGTTATTATTATTTATTAATGTGAAACAGTAAAGAAAAGAGTATAGAAATTGAAAAAGAACAGATAAGAGTAGAAGAACTTTGAATTGGAATTACAAAGAATTATTTAATTATCGTTCACAGGTATTGTGCTCGAGAAGAAAATTCGTTCCGATTTTTTATAGAAAATTTATAGGCTACGCATTTAAATTTTGATATACATCTATTGATTCATTGAATTATATAAGTGCAATTCCATTCGACACTTTCTCATGCAATTTGTCCATTCCTAAGAATAATGCAAAGTATGGAGCTGGGCCATTCAATACTACGTAGCTTCTTCTCATATAATCAAAATAAAATTCGTTCTAATGTTGAGTTTAAGATACACTGCAGGGCACTTTAGTTCTTATTTTACTCGGAACAATCAATCTTTGGAATGAAATTAGTTAAAATTCAAAACGTAGCAACTACGATTTTCGTTTCACATTGTAACAGTTACTTTATTAAACATCAGCATAATCTCATTGAATAATGAATTTCTCCAAAGATGCCTGTGATATAACCTTTTAGAAGATATACACATGTCACTTGTTTCAATCATTTTGCTATAATCTTTTACCTTTTAATCCACGTATCAAAAATGGGAACTACCTTTCCGGACAATCCAACACTTGGTTTTCTCATTTTATTTTAATGAAGATGTTTTATAGAGGAATAAAGCTATACGTACTGACTTGTCAGATAGTATTTCAAGCCCTTATGGAAAACCTCTTCCGTCATAGCGTGAGACATCATTCGAATAACAGAAGCAGCTGTAAGTCATACAAGTAATGATTTGTATTTACTGTCGAAGTAAGTACAATGCGATGTGGTAAGCACTTGTTGAAAATTAAATAAAAAACAGCAAGCACTCATTATTATTCGCAAAGCTTTAGCGATACAAAGCAACCAGTAATTCAAGCCCGCTTATTTATAATCTGGCGATATTTAGAACGTCTTAACTGATCGATAAAATTAGGCAAAGTGTTTCGCTAATGAATAAAAAGAAAACCCGTTGCAAAAATGGTACCTATCGGTGTCTACTCCCACATTTCTGTTTATCTGATGTTAAACTATAACCGTTGAGACTGCGTTTACCGTTCAAATTTGTTTACCTACTTGTCTTTTCATGTATCTAATCGAGATTGAAACAACGTATTTTATTAATTTTTTTACCTTTCTGGTAGGTGATGCTACCGAAGAGGTCACGGATGTCTTCAGGGGTGATCGCGTCGTAATTCATGGGGTGTACAACAGGATACGCATCAATGTCCATCGCGGTCTCTTGCATGCTCTCCACAACAAACATATCACCCAATCGCAATTCAGGTACTATCTGAATTTCATAATTTCATCATTAGTTGCATTGAAAATTATATCTAGACTTGGTAGGTAATAATAATTGAAGAATATATGAGTTTCAGAACTCGTTCTTTAAACGATACTATAGTAAATGACAACATTTCTGTTCACGTCACTATTTCTACTCACTGGTTTATTTTTCTATCATTTTAAATCGACGTGTAAAATTATAGGAAGATACGTCAGTGAGTAGAAAGCATGACATTTCGTGAACTGGCTTCTAAACATATTCAACTCAATTATTGCCTGACAGTAATGGCAATCACGGTAGAAATAAATAAAGTGTATTCTTCCTCCTTAACTTCCCTCCTTTTAACACAAAGTACAGTTAATGAATAAGACAATATGGACATTACAAGGAAGGGCATGTGACTGGGACTGGGACTTCCAATCAGTTGCATAATAACATACCTTATGTATTTCCACCATGACAACAATAACTGAATAAACAAATGACACTGCCCAAACATTTATACATTCCATGTCAAAATACATAGTAGTGAAAGTCTGTTTTAAGAAGAATTAGAGTATCGTATTTACTTTGTGAGACATGAAGTACTGGAAATAGTTGCCGAATCCCTCGTTCAGCCAAATATACTTCCACCATTTCGGGCTGATGAGATTACCGAACCATTGATGAGAGATCTCATGAGCGATAGTCATGAGTACGTTTATCTTCGAGCGGGTTGTGTATGAAGCCTCGTCGTAAAGAAAATAATTTTCTCTGAAATGGAAATTTGAGTTCAGAGAAATTGTAATGTCATTGTAACATTTATACTTTTTATCTAAAACAATGTTACATTAAGGCGATCTATTACTTTAATAGTATGTTTTCTATTATAATCGTGTAGGTAAATGTACCAACCGTTTTGATATTCATATGAAATCTATTTAATTATTTAATATAAATAAACATAATACTTGGAACGTTGAATTATAAGTAACTACTAAAAACTTGAAAACTTGAACGTGGATAATGTGCAACATGTTCTAACAGAAAATTAAAAAATCAACCAGTGTTACTGTGGACTTCTATGCAAAATAGAATATTTATTTTGTCAATTTACAAAATGAAATCTAGATTGAAAATTCTTTCACCCTCCGAAAATGACGAACTGTATTATATGTTCTATGTTCTACAGACTTTTGTATGTTGCACTCATTATTTATATTTCTGGCACATTTAATTTTCCTATGCATGCATAAAATCCGCAGTCTATTAATGACAATAAATTAGCATCCCGCGATTCGATCATACAATTTGATAGAGTGATTCATTACAAGGAGCGAAGAATCCTTTGTATTTTCTTATATTGATACGAAGTATTTCCTCATCTTTGTATCACGAACTTTCATTGGTCGTTAATCTCATCGGGAAAGCAATCTGTACTTCGGATGTCCGAACCCGTCATGTCAAATCGATAAGCGATAAAATCTGTTTCCATTTTGATCGCGACATTCACTGCTTCTACGTACCTGTAAATCACGAGGCCCCAATTCTCTATAGCGTTGGGACGCAAATCATTTATCGAGACTTGATCTATTTTGTCTGGCATGTATGTCTGGTACGAAATATTCGTGTACGAATTCAGCAGTTCTAGAAACTTTCTTCCCATTTTCAAAACGAAGTCAGTCTGATTTATCGCGCTCGCCTTCGTCCACACTCTATAGGTGAAGTTGCCGACTTTATCTTCCTTAAATTGATAATCGCTTAACACGAATGCTACCAAATAAGTAGACATCAATGGTGTCTGTTTGAACGTTGTAGTTATCATGCCATTTTCTTCTTCTTTTTTTAGTACTTCCGTATTAGAGAGTGCCTGCAAGGTCTTATTGTGTGTCAAGCTAATGGTGAACTTCGCCTTGTAGGCGGGTTCATCCCAACATGGGAACGCTAGTCGAGCGCCCGTCGGCTCGAAATTAGTCGTTACAACGTATCCGCTGGAATGGAAGAAAAATTGGATTTTACTTAATTCACACGGAGACAGATAGTAATTTTTCAAAAAAGAGATGAGAATTTTATGTAATGTAACTAATTATCTACCGCATGAGACACTGGGTAAAACGCTTAAGTTTATTGAAATGGAAAGTTAAATATCAAAAAAATCCTTTGAACTGACATTTTACAAGATTCAAGAAGTATCTGACAAAATCTGTGTAAGTAGGAGGCAGAAATTTCGTCATATCACAACTTTATGAATACAGTACGTAACATCTACATTCGTACCTATTTCAGAACTGAATGAGTTTATTAACATTGGAATAAACAACTTAATTTCTTTTCGTTAGTTTGCTATGCGATAAATGATCCGATTTCTATTCAAGTCCTAACTTCTACTCATTGATGAATTTTTATGAAATTTTATATGTTACCTTAAATCTTTTTAATTTATTATGTTATCTCCTTTCTTGGAGACTTTTACGAAATTTTTGTTACACATTAAAGTAATTATTTCATTTTCTATTTACTATTTTTCTTTAATTTTATACGTCATCTTAAAATGATAGAAACATAAGATGTGAACAGAAATTGGGACACTTATCTTAATGTGTACAAAAAATTGTTATTCGTCAGAGACTCCACGAAAATTTGGAAGAATGATTTTTTTACAACATTTATATGCATTGTCCTCAATTTGATGAAAATCGTTTACCGTTCTTCTGGTTATAAGTTACAATAGTGGCACACACACTGTCCCAAAAAAACACGTTTTATATACGTTATGCTAAAGATGCAAAGAAAATAGTTCTAGCCTGTGGAACTAAGATAAATAAGGCTATATATTAAGACTGCACAAAGTTATTTGTAATATGTAAATAGACAGCTACTCAGACATGTACGAATTAAATTAAGA